TTTCTTCATAAAATATTTGGCACCGAATCTCTAAATGGAAACATAATTAAATTGAAAGCTTATTTTCTTAACATAATCACACCGTAATAAATTAATAATGATTAAATATGGTAATATTAAGTTTGGCCATGTTCTCTAAATGGAAACATTTTTAAATTGAAAGCTTCTTAGATTAGAATTATTAGACGATAATAATGACTAAGTACGGTAATTTTATTACACAATATATTATTATCATTCTTCTTACATGGTAATAAATTAATAATGATTAAATACGGCAATATTATTACACGATATATTAATATTATTATTCTTGTTACACGGTAATACATGATATATTCTTATTACATGGTGATTTATGATTTAATTATCATTTATTTATTCAACACTTACTATATGTACCACCATTTCTATGTATTACTTTGACATTTCTTTTAGATTTGATTTCTTTCCGTAAAGGAAACAAATGGTTTGTATGATTAAAATGCTTTGTTTCTAAATTGGAAAAGGAAACAAATGGTTTGTATGATAAAAATGGTTTGTTTCTTAATTGGAAATTATATAAATTACAAAACTGTAAATTTAATGCATTGATTAAAAAATTTACACCATAACGTGATTATTACCTTTTACGGACAAATATTATTTTTAGTTGAATGATAATCATTTTTTTTATTATATGAATTCCAATTTTATAAAAAAAAGTTTGGTATTAGAAAAGAAGTTTATATAAATAATATTTTTTTATATTTTGTTTCCTTTTTAGAAATATATTAGGCATGCAAAATTTCCTTTAATTTATCATTCTAAATAAGAATAGAGTAATTAAGTAATTCTGCATGCAAAATTATTCTAAAAAGGTAACAATGTAGATCTTGTTTGCGAAATTAGTCCCTTCCTTTTTTATCAGAATTAAGTAATTATGCATGCGAAATTTTCTTTAATTTATCATTCTATTATTCTTAAAAGTATTTCCTTTTAAGAATAAAGTGATTAAGTAAATAATTACCTATTTAATTAGGCATAAATAATTACTTTTTGAAAAAATAATCAGGCGTAAATTATTCCAAGTAATTATAATAATAATAATAGTAATAATTAGGCGTAAATATTTACCTATTTAAAAAGGAAACAAAATATAAAAAATCTCCTGCACCGTCCCTTCCTTTTTTATCACAATCAAGTAATTAGGCGAAATTAGTTAGGAAACAAATTACTCCATTCCTTTTTATGCATGCAAAATTTCCTTTAATTTATCATTTTAAATAGGTAATATTACACAACCAATCATAGCCGTAGATCTTATTTGTTTATTGATATCAACGGTGCACGAGATGAGTGCATTGGGCGGGAAAATAATTCCCCTGCTTTTAAGAATAGAGTGATTTCAAAAATTAATATTGAAATCTAAAAAAATTTATGTTTGGAATTGAAGATCTCCTACCAAGGTTTCGCTGAGTTTATTTTCAATTTAATTTATTTGATTGAAAATGTAAAATTCAAAATTAAAATTTATACATTTAAAAACTATTTAAAAAATTGTTCAAAACAAGGAATGACATGACTACTTTATATTATAAAATAATTAATAAAAAATAAATAAATGGAGTAATTAAGTTTGACCGTTTGACTAATGTCTCATTTTTGGTACACTAGGTTGCACGGGTTCGCCAATTAAGTGTCGTTTGACGTACTGGAATCGTCCTAGGGTCGGAGACGGCGTTGGGGACGGTCGGAGACAACCAAGAACTACCTTGGACTGCAAGAATTTGGCGGTTTCCTCTGCCGCGGTGGAATCAGGAATTAGGGAGTGTGCCTCCTTCGGATTTGGACTGCAACTCCACCACCCGCGCCCAGCCTATTGTTTCTCGGTATTTTTTTATCGATGTAGTTAGCCATTAGGGCAAACAATGACATTTATTGCATTTACAATGGATGGCTGAAATCAGCCTCGCCAGAAGGAAAAAGAGCCGCGTTGCGGCCTTCTACAATGAATGACCGGCGCAACTGTGTGTGTGAAGGGGCACGACGAAATCAATCACCCATTGTAAATGCTCTTAGGACTTTATTGCGGGATTGCCTTCTTCCTTTCAATTGTCTATCCATCTCTTCAGACTATTTTTATTATTTTTTTTATTAGAAACAGTTTTTTTCAGAACAGATCAGATTAGAAACAACTTTAAATATAATTATATTCAGAACGGATCAAATCAGAAGTTATTTTAGTCTGATCAAAATCATTCAAATCAGATGAAGAGAAAAAAACCCCAATTGGGACAATCGACTTTAGGTGTTTGTTTATTTTGAACCATCGAATATAGAATAGCTCTACTTTTGGTAATTGCGTCATTTAAAACTTTTAAATTAAGTTTTTCATTTGGTCTTGATGGGTATATCCCTATACCCGACCCGGACAACCGAAAGGGATAGGTCAAAATATGACCGGTCACTTTCATCAATCACCAAATGAGGCTAACTCTTCGATTGAGACGGGTCAAAAGTTGACTGGTCACTTTCCTTAAAAAAGTGACCGGTCACATTTTGGGCGATAGCCAATTCGTCACTTAATGTTACGAAGGACATTCTAGAAGACCAGAGAGGGGGTTGAGTGCATGAAATGACCAGGTAACCTTTCAGAGAAGGTGACCGGTCATATCACTTTACTTGGCTAACATTGGTCTAGTCTCTTAGGCATGGTGAACCACGTCAGAGGTCAAGAGGACACCCCGCCGCTCATCCATCACGAGGCACACAGTGAAAGGCATGTTTGTCATTTTGCAGGGTTGATTGGATTGAGAATATCCATTTTAGTCTTTGATTGAACAGTGCTTTTGGTTGTATTAGTAACAAGTCCATGATTGTACAGTGCTTCCATTATCTACAGTGACCTTCCCACGAGCTTCCTATTTTGTCCATGGATGAACAGGGGAAGGTCACAAATCCTCCTCTATATATATGATGATATTTGATAGAGGAGGGGATCCATTCTTTATCTCACTAAAAAACTAGTACACTCTTGAGACAGAGTAAGAAATATATTTTGGACTGAGGAGATTTACCCGGTCTAGGTCATACTTTATGTTCTTGTTGTGTGTTTTATATTACGGGTCAAGTGTCCAGGTCAAACCCGGTCAACCCACCCATCTATATTTACATCATCATTTTTGGCGCCACCCGTGGGACCGATTTTTAAAGTTTTTTCGACCAGGTCAAAACTTTAACCCCACTAAATATCCACAATCATGTCTTCAAGCAACCACAACACTGTGTCAAGCCAGGCTGCGAGTGAAAGCACTCCTGCCATCCCATTGATGATGCCAGGCATGGGGACGACCTTTGCCCCGATCACCACGGTAGGATCAGTTGGAATGATCCCAATCATGTCAACCCCTACTCCTGATCCAACGACAACAATATTCCCAAGCTCGATAACAACGCCTGGGGGAGCATTCGCACCATACCCTTCAGCTTGGGCACAATTTGCTGCTGACCCGGCAAATGCTCAGGCTCTACAGGGCTATCAACAGGTGATGGCCATGATGCAACAGACAGGGGGCTTCATGCCATTTGCCTATCCTGGCATGACGCCACCAATTATGCCACCTCCGGTGTCGACTCCATCAACAGTCGTTCCAAGGATGGTCCCTGTGCGCTCGGTGAATTTGACAGGGATCATGAACGAGGAAACGCCCTCAAATGTTCAGAGGTGGACGAGGCAGAGCAAGAGGTGGCCCGCAGAAGGAAGGGTAAGGCTATAGTCAAGCCTAGCAAAACTCGAGATTCGGCGTTCAAACGCCTAGGGGACAAAGAGGATGGACCCCGCAAGTCTGCCAAGCTACGTCTTGGTCCTGAGATGGGCCGGACTAGCGCAATGGGAGGGCTTGGTGGGAGTCGTCCCGCCCCATCTCGTCGTTCTAGGGAATCTGAGACGATTCACCTAGACGAGGAGGAAGTTGAAAGCCATCCCAGGGCATCGGCGTATACGAGGCTCTCATATGATGAAGATGACCTGGACAAGATAGGGAGCGTAGCAAGAAAGCTACGTGCCCTGGAGGAAAAGGTGGAATAGAAGGCGGGAGCAAAGAAGCACACCCTGGCCAAATCACCCTTTTCGGCCAGGGTACATGCACAAAAATTGAGGCAAAAGGTCAAGCTGGACGTGGAGAAATTCACTAGAAAGGAGGATCCAAATGTCCACCTTGACACCTTCCACAATGCAGCACATATGGCCGGGTGCACTGATGCTGAGGAGTGCTTGCTCTTCTTCTCATCCTTGAGAGGGAGGCCTGTGGAATGGTTTAACGGCCTTCCCCATGGCAGGATTTGGTCCTTTGAGAAATTTGTCGAAGTTTTCCGCAAGAAGTACCAGGATAACTGCATCAAGAGGAAGAAGTTCACCTACCTTAACACGGTAGGGCAGAGGGAGAAGGAGTCCTTGACTCAATTCTTAACCCGCTAGAGGGACGAGGTTGACAAGGTAGAAGAGATGGATGATAAGACGGCCATGTCTTTACTTATGAATGCCTTCCAGTCGGGTGACCTCTACACTGAATTCTGTAGAAGGCCATCCTCCTCTTATCAGGAAGCCTATAACACGGCATGGGAATACGTCGAGGCAGAGGTCCTGAACAAGAGCAAGCAGGAGCTAGAGGAAGGCCATACAAAGGTGAAATCTGACAAGCCGAAGAAGGATGACCAGACGGGCGGGTCCAAGCCAAAGGCCACATATGACGGGTCCATCCACCAAATAAGGGATGAGAAGAAAGGAGAACAACATAAGCGGCCTTGAACAGAGAAGTGGTGCACCTACCACCAATCCGACTCTCACAACACGACAGATTGCCGGAATGTGAGGGTCGTGCTCAGGGAGATGACCTTGAAAGGGGAATTGGGTGAAATATTCGTTACGGGGCTTGAGGAAGACCCATAGGCGAGTACTTGAATCCACCCACATGAATATGACCAGGGAAAGAAGAGAGGGTGGATAAGATGTGGTCAAGATTACTAAGCTTGCTGTAGACGGATCAGTCTTGATGTCTAGGACTTGGACCGTTGCATGGGCTGATAGCAAAAACAAAAAAAAGAAACCCTTGAGATAGGGGCCTTGATGTTGAGGTATCGCCTTGAGACAGGCTGGATCCGGAAGAGGATTCGCATCCATACTTACATGGATCCCTACCGACTTTTTGGTCGGGAAGGGTTAGAAAAGATGCCAAAAAAATATTACCGTCTTGTATGAGCCATCCTTTGTGGATCGGAATGTCTAGGGAAGACTAGAATTTCCGAACACATAATATATGGACGTGCAGGATTGGATGAGGGCTGGTTCTCACCGGCATACCCCCATGTGGGAAGATTAGGTTGGCTAGGTCAACCTAATAATTAGAGAATGGCACATTAAAAGACTTAAAACCTGGAAGAGGGGCCCTGGAAGAAGGGTGTTGCCTGGAAGAGGGCTGAACCTTGGAGAGGGTTCGCGACCATAGGACATGGTCAAAATCTCCAAAGAAAAGGTCGGGTCTTGATGTCGAGACTTAAGACGAAAGCCGTTTCGGAACATTCGATCGAAGTTTGATCAAGGTCGGGGTAGAACACGACAGACAGGCNTTTGACCGGTCAACTTTGTCAAAAGTGACCGGTCACTTTTTAATATTCAGATTTGATGAAAACAGATAAATCTGGGAAAATATTTTTTGACCGGTCACATTTTTGACCCGGCACCTGGACAGAAAATTTGACGTCATGCTGGTTACATAGTGCAACCAAGCCATTGGAAGTTGATCGGGACGAATTTAACCTAGACGTTTATTGTTCGACCTGACAAGCTAGAAACAAAGTGACCTGGACGTTTTCAACTCTGGAGACCGGGACATAAGATGACCTGGAAGTATTCAAGCCTCGCATCTAAAATGCCCTTCAAAACTTTCAACCTAGCCTATTAAACCAAGACATGAGATGACCTGGAAACTTATTTTATTTCAACATGGATGTGACCTGGACGTTTTCAATAGTTCAAGACTTGGATGCTTTCAACAAAGCCTACTAGACCTAGACACTTTCAAAATGTTACCTAACCAGGCTTAAGCCGATTACTTCTATTGACTTGGAAGCAAGCATGTTCTGGGAAATTGTCAACCAAGCCAATTAGACCTGGACATTCTTCAAATGATTCTTAAAGTTTTAGACCGGTTACTTTTGTTGACATGGCAGTTCAGTCAAATGTGTTCATTATGAGGGAAGTCTAACCAGTCAACTTCAAAGGGGGACCAGGCAAGAAAATAACCATGCAAAAAACTTAACCATTCAAGAAGTTCAACCAGGCACAAAGGAATGCGACCGGACCATGAAGCCTCCTTAATTGGTGACCATTCCATTTGAAGAGGGCCGGCCTTCTTTTTCCTAGAACCCTCCCGAGAACTCTTATGTTAACCCTTCCACTCTTGGACTTAACCAAGTTATCATATGAGATTTGCATCATATAACCGGGCACTTGACCGGGTACTCTCGGAGGACTAGGAGGACTTACGTTGCAGAAGACCGGTTAATTATTTAGAGTTTACATTTGGATTTCCCAATAATTCAAAAGTGATAGGTCTGAGAAGAAGGTCCGATGAACTCCAAAGTGCCAGGTCTGATGATCTCCAAAGTGCCAGGTCCGATGAACCCCAAAAGCGCCAGGTTTGATGATCTCCAAAGTGCCAGGTCCGATGAACCCCAAAAGCGCCAGGTCTGATAAACTCCAAAGTGATACGTGTGATGATCCGCAAAGTGCCAGGTGTGGGGAACCCCAAAGTGCCAGGTTAGAAGAAAAAAATGATAACCAAAACTTCATTTTCAGTCAAGGGAAAGGCATGATTATTCCAAAAAATGGACGGGTCATGGGAAAGACTTGATGATTCCAAAAGCGACGGGTTTGAAAGGAAAGGCTTGATAGTTCAAAAAAGGAAAGGTCTTTAAAAGGAAAGGCTTGACCATTTCAAAAAAGGACAAGTCATGGGAAGGACTTGACGATTTCAAAGAAGGACAGGTCATGGGAATGGCTTGATGATTTCAAAAATGGACAAGTCATGGGAATGGCTTGACGATTTCAAAGAAGGACGGGTCATGGGAATGGCTTGACGATTTCAAAGAAGGACAGGTCTTGGGAATGACTTGATGATTTCAAAGAAGGACAGGTCATGGGAATGACTTGATGATTTCAAAGGACTGGTCATGGGAATGACTTGATGATTTCAAAGAAGGACAGGTCATGGGAATGACTTGATGATTTCAAAGTGGGACAGGTCATGGGAATGACTTGATGATTTCAAAGAAGGACAGGTCATGAGAATGACTTGATGATTTCAAAGAAGGATAGGTCATGGGAATGACTTGATGATTTCAAAGAAGGACAGGTCATGGAAATGTCTTGATGATTTCAAAAGTGATAGATTAACATAAGTATACTTCCCGCCCTTGATGACTTCCTCACAAGGCCGGTAAGTGGAGGACTTCTTGATGGGTATATCCCTATACCCGACCCGGACAACCGAAAGGGACAGGTCAAAATATGACCGGTCACTTTCATCAATCACCAAATGAGGTTAACTCTTCGATTGAGACGGGTCAAAAGTTGACTGGTCACTTTCCTTAAAAAAGTGACCGGTCACATTTTGGGCGATAGCCAATTCGTCACTTAATGTTACGAAGGACATTCTAGAAGACCAAAGAGGGGGTTGAGTGCATGAAATGACCAGGTAACCTTTCAGAGAAGGTGACCGGTCATATCACTTTACTTGGCTAACATTGGTCTAGTCTCTTAGGCATGGTGAACCACGTCAGAGGTCAAGAGGACACCCCGCCGCTCATCCATCACGAGGCACACAGTGAAAGGCATGTTTGTCATTTTGCAGGGTTGATTGGATTGAGAATATCCATTTTAGTCTTTGATTGAACAGTGCTTTTTGGTTGTATTAGTAACAAGTCCATGATTGTACAGTGCTTCCATTATCTACAGCGACCTTCCCACGAGCTTCCTATTTTGTCCATGGATGAACAGGGGAAGGTCACAAATCCTCCTCTATAAATATGATGATATTTGATAGAGGAGGGGATCCATTCTTTATCTCACTAAAAAACTAGTACACTCTTGAGACAGAGTAAGAAATATATTTCGGACTGAGGAGATTTACCCGGTCTAGGTCATACTTTGTGTTCTTGTTGTGTGTTTTATATTACGGGTCAAGTGTCCTGGTCAAACCCTGTCAACCCACCACCTATATTTACACCATCAGATCTACTTTTAATATTTGCTCAATTTTTTTGCACTATGAACTTATAATTGGTGCATCTCAATTACTTTGTATTTTGCTCTTGAGACGGAAGCATTATTTTTTAAAAAAAATAACCATGCGCATCTGGGTTGTAAATGAATCGAATATTTTTTGTTCGATTCGTGTCTCGTATTCAAATTAGGTTTGTATTCGAACTTTTCAAATTTGAATATGAATCTGAATAAATATTCGAATCCTTATCGAATATGAATTTGAATCAAGGGTATTTGATTCACGAGTTTGATGAATATATTCAGGATACCCTATCTGATAAACATATTATAATTATTGTTAAATATATTAATTATTTTAATATATTTAATATTATATATTATATTTATGGTTGTTACCTATTATAGCTAGAGTTATTATAATATAATATTTCCTTATTTATCTAGCCATAAATATGGAGAATTCTAGAATACTCCAACTCCACCTATATATTCATTACCTTGTATTCTCTAAATTATTTGAGCAATAAAGCATTATTTGTTATTTTTACATGGTATCAGAGTCTTCGTTCTTGGAGACCTAATAGTTTCAAACTCTCAACATATTAGTTGCAATTAGACAGACAAATGAGAACCCGCGTGCTCTGATAATCGATTAATAGGACACGACAACCGATTATCTGGCCACGCTGGACTTCTCGTTCGAGAAGCAAAGTGTGATAATTAATTATCACATAAGTGATAATCGACTATCAGACCCTACTGGATTCTAAGTTCAAAATTGGTTCCACTTGATAATCGATTATCATAGGGAAATAATCGATTATCAGACCTCTCTAAACTTTGGATTCTGAAACGGGCCAACCTGACAATCGATTGTCTTAAAGTGACATTCGACTATCAGGGGCTGCAGAACCTTGGGATTGGAACTACCATGCCTGATAATCGATTATCATCAATGAATAATCGATTATCATCCAGTTCTAAACCCAAGACCATCATGTTGAGAAACAAAGCGTTTTCTGAAGAAAATTAATACGGAATCAAACATATATGTATGGGTTGAACCTAAACTTCTTTCAAAGCAAGTCATTCATATCATCATGAACATCCTAGACGCATGTCGTAGGATCATGGCATACCATTTCATACCGTGATAAGAGTTCAGACCTAGTGCGCCTCTTCTGTGAGCCCGTCTAGGAGCCTTTGGGATCCAACGGGTTTCATTAGGAGGGCTTGTGTACGTACATGGTAACTAGGCTTTCAGTTACTATATACCACCCACGATTTCTAGTCTCCTTTAGGAGACTAAGGTTTCCTCGGCTCATCACCACGTGGGATGATCACTGAAGAGCAGGGGGTCCCTGCACAGTATAACTCATGCATCATGAATCATTTGGCATTGCATTGTTATAAATATGCTACCCTTATTTATCAAAATTTGTATGTGGTATCTCGTACTTTAGTACACGTACGATTATATGTTTATATCAATGTAAAATGTACTATGTGTTCTACTGTTAGATTACCACTCAACTTATGCTGAGCGTATAGCGTTGTTTTTGCTATACACAGGTAGGCGTGAT